GGACATATTTTCACTATTCAATAAAAGAGTATTATTCAACAGTCCACATTCTCTGAATGTTTTCATGGTATCAGAGCTGAGGTTGGTCTAAGTCCATCAACGGTATCTTTGAGCCCATCACACAAAACCTACCTACGAACGCCGGAAACCCAAGAAGTGAAGTGGATTGCCTTCTAACAAGGTTCAGCGCCCTCTGTTCTAGCTCGAGAAATCAAGAAACCCTTACACGTCTAACCCTTACCGATCAAGAATCCTATCGATCAGAGATCGCGACTAGCATCATGGGGGAAGAAAAGAATCTTACGGCCACTTCTGCAGACCTATTTAGGTGGCTGACCGGATGTATTTTATATGGACATATTTTCACTATTCAATAAAAGAGTATTGTTCAGCAGTCCACATTCTCTGAATGTTTTCATGGTATCAGAGCTGAGGTTAGTCCAAGTCCATCAACGGTATCTTTGAGCCCATCACACAAAGCCCACCTATGAACGCCGGAAACCCAAGAAGTGAAGTGGATTGCCTTCTAACAAGGTTCCGGCGTCCTCTGTTCCAGCTCAAGAAATCAAGAAACCCTCACACGTCTAACCCTCACCGATCAAGAATCGTACCGATCAGAGATCGCGACTAGCATCATGGGGGAAGAAAAGAATCTTGTGGCCACGTCGATTGATTTCACTAGTCCCATGTTCCTGCATCCTTCAGATACTCAAGGAACATCCATTATCGGCTTAATCTTGACGGGGAGTGAAAATTATACGGTTTGGAGCAAAGCTATGCTGATTGCTCTTCGAGGAAAAAATAAAGTTGGCTTCATCAATGGCTCGTGCAAGAAGAAGGATCAAGACTCCAAACTTCACAATCACTGGGAAAGGTGTAATGCCGTCGTTTTGTCGTGGATATTGAGCTCTGTTTCTAAGGACCTCGCCAATAGTCTGGTTTATTTTCAAGAAGCGTCATCGGCCTGGGACGACCTGAAGGAACGATTTGATAAAATTTCAGGGTCATGAATTTTCTACTTACACCGTGAAATTCATTCTCTTTAACAAGGTGAGCTTTCCATATCCGGTTACTATTCTAGGTTAAAAGAGCTATGGGAAGAACAAGGGAACCTGATGGCTATCCCGACGTGTAATTGTTCTGCTTCCCAAGCATATCACAAGGCGAGCCAGAGACAGAAATTATTGCAATTTTTAATGGGATTGAATGAAGCATATACCAGTGCAAGGAGTCAGATTCTCCTTATGCAGCCTCTTCCTACGGTCAACCTGGCCTACGCAATGATTCTGGAAGACGAAGCCCAGAGAAACATTGCGAATTTGGAAAAGATCGTGCCTAGTGAAAGTCTGGCCATGACTGCAAGGGGGAGAGGTAGAGGGAGAGGTACTCCCTTACCTGAATGTGACCACTGCCATAAGAAGGGTCACACAAAGGATAGATGTTGGGAAATAGTGGGATTCCCTTCAGACTTTAAAGGGAATCGAGGAAAACAGAGTCAAGAAGCCAAAGGGAATCAAGGTACTAGCCATCGAGAAGCAGAGGCACTTGCAAATACGTCCAGTGTCGTGTCTCCAAGTTTTACTTTGGAACAATATCAGCGACTGTTGGAAATGTTGAAGAAAGATTCAGAAACTAATGCCCACGCGCTTACTGGTACAGGTTTGAATAATCTTTCTACTTCTAATTCATATCATATTAAATGGGTTATTGATTCTGGAGCCACTACTCATATGGTTAGCAATTTAGGACTGTTAGATAAGTATGAACCTTATAATGGGCCTATTAAAACTATCAAGATTCCTAATGGGGATAGATTTTCTGTGACTCACATAGGAGATGTTAGGTTTCATAATGGAATAGAATTAAAAGGGATCCTATATGTTGCTGAACTCAAATTTAATTTGATATCTGTCTCACAAATAACAAGGGAAACTATATGTATTGTATCATTTTACCTTGATAAATGCATCGTGCAGGGCCTTTTAGATGGAAAGATGAGGGGGATTGGTAGAATAGATCATGGTCTGTACTTGTTGAGCCTGGAAAAGGATCATGTGTGCATGAACTCAATTCATAATTGTAATTCTGACAAGAATGTTGATATGTGGTTATTACATGAAAGAATGGGGCATGCCCCTTTGAATGTAATCAAACATCTAAACATAGTGAAAAACAAATCTATGGTAGTGAATAAAACTTGTGATACTTGTTTTCAGTCTAAACAGACCAAATTACCCTTTCCTTCTAGCTGTATTAAAACAGCAAAGTGTTTTGATTTGCTTCATATGGATGTTTGGGGACCTTATAAGGTTCCAACACATTCAAGATTTCATTATTTTCTTACTATTGTAGATGATTTTTCTAGAGCTACATGGACCTATCTTATGAAAAATAAATCTGAGACTGTTTATCACATTAAAACTTTTCTCACCTATGTTCTGACTTTAACACAAATGTCAAAAGAATAAAAAGTGATAATGGAAGTGAATTTGTTAACCATGATTTGAGCAATTATTTTAAAACTAAGGGTATAGTTCATGAGACCACATGTCCCTATACTCCTGAGCAGAATGGAATAGTAGAGAGAAAATATAGAACTTTGATGCAGATTTCCAGAGGGTTAATAATTCAGTCTGGTCTACCTATTAGATTTTGGGGAGAGTGTGTTAAAACTGCTACTTATATTGTTAATAGAACTCCTAGCAGAATACTAAAATTTCGAACTCCTTATGAGATAGTTCATGGTTATGCTGCTGATTATAATGAACTCAAGGTCTTTGGTTGTCTGTGTTATGCTACAGATTTGGTTGTTACTGACAAGTTTAAACCCAGATCACTGCCATGTGTTTTTCTAGGTTATCCTCCTAATCAAAAGGGATTTATTCTGTTAAATTTGAAAGATAACAAATTGTTTGTGAGCAGGCATGTTAAATTTGTTGAACACATTTTTCCTTTCAAAAATGTTAATGGCATTGATAAAGGGGGAGTATCTAATGAAATGAAACGGATGTTCTTCTTTGATGAATTTAATGATATATCTTTACAGCATCGATCATCCAAAGAGAATGAACCACTTGTAACAGGAAATGAGGCAGATTCACCTAATTCTAATAGGGATATTACTCATCCTGTAATTAGACCCAATAGAGAAAGAAGACTTCCTATATGGGCTAAAGATTATATATGTAATCTCACACAGTCAACTTTAGGTCAATTAAACTTAGGGTAGAATATTAAGTCTAGCTGTAAATATCCCATTGAGAATTACATTTCTTATGATAACGTTTCTCCATCCCATATGTGCTTTCTGTGTTCCATTGATAGTGTTTTTGAACCTACTCACTATAATGAAGCTATCAAGGATCATAATTGGATTGATGCTATGAAAAATGAAATTCAAGCTTTAGAAGAGAATAAAACATGGGATATAGTTCCTTTGCCTAAGAACAAGAAACCAATTGGTTGCAAATGGGTTTATAAAATAAAGTATAAACCTGATGGTTCTATTGATAAGTATAAGGCTAGGTTGATAGCTAAAGGGTATAATCAAGTAGAAGGGATTGATTATAATGAAACCTTTTCTCCTGTAGTGAAAATGGTGACTGTTAGAGTTGTTCTTAAATTGGTTGCTGTAAATGGTTGGTCTTTGTATCAAATAGATGTGAATAATGCCTTTTTACAAGGAGATCTTAGTGAAGAAGTGTTTATGACCATTCCTCAAGGTTTTGAAGAGCAAGGAAATAACATGGTTTGTAAACTTAAAAAGTCTTTACATGGACTTAAACAAGCTTCAAGGCAATGGAATCAAAAATTATCTTTGTCTTTGCTTAAAGGAGGTTTCCTACAGAGTAAATATGATTATTCTTTGTACACTAAACACTATGATGATGGTTTTGTAATCATTTTGGTCTACGTGGATGATCTGTTAATAACTGGAAATAATGAACAACGAATTGAACAAGTAAATGTTTTCTGCATAGTCATTTTAAAATTAAGGATTTAGGAATCATGAAATATTTTCTAGGGATAGAAGTTATGAGATCTGAAGAGGGTATTATGCTCTCCCAAAGAAAATATGTTATGGATCTTCTTGCAGAGATAGGAATGAGTGGATGTAAGCCACTCACACTGCCAATGCCACATCACCTGAGATTAGTGGCATTTGAAGCAAAGAAACATCGAAAAGAGGATCTGCTGCAGGAACCAGGGAAGTATAGGAGATTGATTGGCAAGCTGATTTATTTGACAATGACCAGGCCTGATATTTATTTTCCTGTGCAGGTTTTGAGTCAGTTTATGCAGCAGCCCATGAAGTCTCATTGGGCAGCAGCCTTAGGAGTGTTAAGATATCTGAAGCAATCTCCTGGTCTTGGGATTCAGTTGAGCTCAAGTGGAGACATGGAGCTGAAGTGTTTTTGTGATTCGGACTGGGGGTTATGTGAGACCACGAGGAGGTCGGTCACGGGGTATCTCCTTAAATTAGGAGACTCCCTCATTGTTTGGAAAACCAAAAAGCAGGCTATTATCTCCAGATCTTCAGCAGAAGCTGAATATCGAGCTTTAGGTACAATAGTATCTGAAGTTGTTTGGGTTAGGGGATTGTTATCAGATCTGGGAATTATTGTACAAGGTCCAATTAATGTATTTTGTGATAGCAAATCAGCTATCTACATTGCCACCAACCCTGTATTTCATGAGCGCACTAAGCATATAGAAATTGATTGTCATTTTGTGAGGGAAAAAGTGGCAGATGGTTTGGTAAAACTACAGCATGTGAAATCTGCTAATCAGGAAGCAGACATCTTAACTAAGGCTGTGGGAAAAGAAATGCAGCTGAGATTGTTAGGCAAGTTAGGAGCTTCTGACTTGTTTCAGCCCCAAACTTGAGGGGGGTATTAGATATTATATGTATTCATTGTAATCATTTTGGGGCTTTAGGTGTATTGGGCTCGAGCCTCACTGTTGTTTTAAACCTATTTAGTTTTCCGTCTTTTGCAAACCTATTTAGGTGGCTGACCGGATGTATTTTGTATGGACATATTTTCACTATTCAATAAAAGAGTATTATTCAATAGTCCACATTCTCTGAATGTTTTCACTATCTCCTGCGCTTGTTTTGCTTCTGCTTCCTCCTCCTCTTGTTCGGCTTCTGCTTCCTCCTCCTCCTCGTCTTCGTCTCCATCACCACCAGTCTCATCCCCCTCCTGTTCGTCCCCGTCGCCGCCGGCATCGCCCGCATCAGTGGGCGCCTCCCCCTCCGGTGCCTCCCCCTCCTCTTCCGATGCCTCCCCCTCCGGTGCCTCCCCCTCCTCTTCCGATGCCTCCTCCTCCGGCGCCTCCCCCTCCTCCTCCGGTGCCTCCTCATGTTGAAATAGGCCTCCGATGTAACTTGTATTAAATATGGCAATTCAAAGCAAGTTCCTCGTCTATCAAATTAATTCCAGATGAGTCCAATGGAATCTACACTGACCACTATAGGCTACTCGTGGCATCAAACGAGACGCCTCAGATTAAGCTAGAACTTGATCGCAGCAGAAAGACAATGTAAAATCTGTAACTACATTATGCTAGGAGATCTGAATTCACTTAAAGAAATCAATTATGTCTATCAGAAATCGAAGCAGTGAGAAACACACACAGGATTCGGATTAAAAAAAAAAAAAGAAGCTAACTAATATTACAAGAGGATCGAAAGTTACGAGAAGAAACGAATGGCGCTCAGTGATTTCAGCTTCCCTGACTCTCTGTGCAACGGCCTGAAAGAATGAAATAGAAATTTAGAATACACGATCAAATTGAAAGAACACTATGTTTCGTCGAAATAATTCTCAGGAAACAGGCCTCCGATGTAACTTGTATTAAATATGGCAATTCAAAGCAAGTTCCTCGTCTGTCAAATTAATTCCAGATGAGTCCGATGGAATCTACACTGACCACTATTGGCTACTCGTGGCATCAAACGAGACGCCTCAGATTAAGCTAGAACTTGATCGCAGCAGAAAGACAATGTAAAATCTGTAACTACATTATGCTAGGAGATCTGAATTCACTTAAAGAAATCAATTATGTCTATCAAAAATCGAAGCAGTGAGAAACACACACAGGATTCGGATTAAAAAAAAAAAGAAGCTAACTAATATTACAAGAGGATCGAAAGTTACGAGAAGAAACGAATGGCGCTCAGTGATTTCAGCTTCCCTGACTCTCTGTGCAACGGCCTGAAAGAATGAAATAGAATTTAGAATACACGATCAAATTGAAAGAACACTATGTTTCGTCGAAATAATTCTCAGGAAATAGGCCTCCGATGTAACTTGTATTAAATATGGCAATTCAAAGCAAGTTCCTCGTCTGTCAAATTAATTCCAGATGAGTCCGATGGAATCTACACTGACCACTATTGGCTACTCGTGGCATCAAACGAGACGCCTCAGATTAAGCTAGAACTTGATCGCAGCAGAAAGACAATGTAAAATCTGTAACTACATTATGCTAGGAGATCTGAATTCACTTAAAGAAATCAATTATGTCTATCAGAAATCGAAGCAGTGAGAAACACACAGGATTTGGATTCAGCTAACTAATATTACAAGAGGATCAAAAGTTACGAGAAGAAACGAATGGCGCTCGGTGATTTTGGCTCGCCTGAATTGCTGTGCAACGGCCTGAAAGAATGAAATCGACATTTAGAATACACGATCGAATTGAAAGAATACCATATTCAAAGAGGCTCCTGTTATCACCATGCTTTCGGCTGTGACTGCGAGAATTGACGGGAGAAGAGAACTCAAGAGTTTGCTCGATGCGTGGAAATTTTGAATGGAAAAGGGCGGTATAGCCACTGGCTGGGTTGTTATTTATAGGCTAAGCATGGTGCCGCAAGCAATTCGTGCCCTGACCGCGAGCGCGAGGCGGAAGTCCTTCGGCCAGCTGGCTTGGCGCCAATTGATCAACGAATCTACCGTCTTTTTTTTTTTTTTTATACACAACACATTGTGTTTTGCAATTTGTTATTAGCATAATGTGTCATGTGTTCCCTGTGTTTGGTGCTTTTTTATAGCCGTAAAATGAAAGGCATCAAACACAGGCTCTACCGTATAATGCTTTTTGTATAAATTGTTAAATTGCAAAACATAATGAAGTTCTTTTCAATTTGTTATGATGTGTTCCCTGCCCTCCATCGCCAAAACAACACGGCCTCCTATTCGGCTTTCACTCATCAATCGGCGATTCCGAGCTGAGTTTGGTGCTTTCTTCGCAGAATCTCAACTTTCGTCGGTAAGGAAATAACCAGCTAGGTTTCCAATTTACGTCTTTCTCTTTCTCTTCTCCCCTTTTGTGTTTCTTTTTAGCGGTTTCCTCCCCTGTTCCTCCTTATCGTTGTCTATTCCTTTATTCTCTTTCCCTGTTCCATTCTTGGAGCCGGCGCCGGCTGATTCCGGTGTGACGCTACGACTTGTTCAAAGTACGGGCATTTCAAAACTTATCCAGAAGTATTCATCCCTGTAATTTGAGCAAAGAAATACCTATGAAATGCTACATATCTGATACGTACCTGATCCGCAGATGTATTTCTTTGTTTCAATTTGTAGTGTCTCATAGGTGCTGCTGCTCTGGTGTTGTGTGTTAGGAGTACTGTGAACGGGGAAGAGAAGGAGTTATAGTTGTTAGTAGTTGTTATTCTTTGGTATGACCAACGGACGCAATCTACCTGAGAGTAGTTATGTGAATTTATGAGATGAAGTTCTGAATTCTAAGTTGCTCTCTTTCTCCCATTCCTTCTATTCTTTCTTTCTTCTATCATTGTAAGGAATAGCAAAGGCTTCTAATAATGAACTCGCTTTCTAATTTGAATATAGAGCAACTGGAAGCTCTTGAAGTTCTGAAGTAAAGATGGGTGATGAAGATGATTCCATCGAACAAGCTGCTGCATCACGTGGAGAAAGGCTGCGGGCTCTTAAAGCTGCTCAAGAATTGTTGAACGCTCCTGATGATGACACTACACAAGCTAATGATGAGACAAATGATGATGAAACTGCTGAAGAGCAGTATGTATTTTCTAATTTCTAACGCGAGAGTTATTATTCTCACTCCGTCTTCAAATATGTCTAAGCGCACAATTTGTGAATGAGAATGATGAATGTTTTAATTTTTAATTAGTAAATTTAACTGTTACTTCTTTTTTAATTTTTTTTAACAGTTGGTGAAATAATTATATAAAAGCTGGGCTGGATAGTTATTTGAAATTTACAATTCTAATCTCTTTTATCTGCAAGTATATACAAAAATATATATACCTTTATATCTGACTGCAAGTGAATTTTTATGTTGATTCTGTGTACATCTAAACCAAGCATAAATTACTTTAGGTCATGTGTTCCCTGTGGTGATTTTATGGGATAGCAAGAACTCACACAACAAAGTAGCTCTGAGGTCAGATATTGACTCAATTTGTTAAAGAAAGTTGCTGGAAAATGAGAAGAGCCTTGCAGTTATTATTTTATCACTCTATGCGTGAAATTGCTGTATTGTAAGACATGTGGACTCGTTGGAAAACTCTTTGGCATTGCTCGTCACTTCGGAAGTTAGCTGGCTGTTTTGGTTGTTTGGCTTGTAATTTGACTATGAAACAATGTGAAATGGCTATTACTATCCCTCTGGTTTTTGTAAATTATGATTTTTTGTTTAAAAGGAGGCCGGCCGCTAACCCATCTCCTGGAAGGCTCGGGTTAGCCCATCTTGAGACGGGCTTTCCCAGCCAGCCCGCTAGGATAGCAACCCGGCATTGCCTACTCCATCTGCAGAGATAGTGTAGTTGGAAGTAAACACTATCTTTTCTCTGCTTTGTGGATTTTGCCAAATTGTTGAATCAGGTTGACCTACTTGATCTTTATTTTCCAGCTTGTTGGTCGGTTTGCTGAAATTTGCTAACATCCTCTTCTTCTTCGCGGGTTGGCTGAAATATGTAGTTTTAATCGATGAGTAGTAAATTAGGCACACTAATAAGACGATTTTACTCTCCATCTCTCTGGTTGTACAGTCTGTAATGCCCTTTGGTAACTTCTTGGGACTTTTGATGGCCTTTGGGATTGACCTTTTTCAATGGTGATGCATTCTCCTTACCATCTGATGCGAAATGATTACTGGAGAGTCATATCCTGCAAAAAGGACTATTCTTCAATCTCTATACATATGGGATACTCTTCAAAATTTGGGATGTCTTTCTTATTATTTAAGTGAGTAATTTGACCCCTTGGCATGTGTAATTATTCTCGACTGTGACTGCATCATTGTTATGAAGGTGAAATGCTGGATTCTACGTAAGATTGAAGAGACTCTCGCCCCATTGTGCACTCACTGAATGCAACTCAGCATCGTTTAGGTTTCTGGAAGAGAATGGCCACTCTTGCAACAAATACGTGCTCCTTTCTAAGTACCCATACAATTAAAGGAGTCGAAAGATTGGAGAGTACGAGTACTTAATATATATAACCGATCACACTTTTTCGGGGTTCACATTTCTTTTCAAATGGTATGGCATATTGTAAATGGAAGAATTAAATCAACGGCTGAAATTTTTTGGGGGTATTATTAAGTCTTTACTTTCGGTTAATTGCTGTTTCTGGTGTGTGTTTATCTATTCTTTTTCCTATGTCCATCATTTGGATTCGGGGTTTGTTCATAGACTTGGTAGTAGTGTTATTTTCTTCAAAGCTAAAAGGTCTGATTTTTTTCTCTAGCACAAATCTTTTGCCATCTATGAGAAGTTTGGATTCCCTGCAATGGGGGATCCTACTGCATGATGTTCAGCAACTCTGTCAATGCTTTTTTTATGGACCAGAAAATTTAATGGGAACCGGGAAAGATAAAAATTGTAATTATGAGGACAATAATTGTAGTTATGAGAGAAGATTAAACTTCAAAAATATGAATTGCACAGTTCAGTTAAAGTTTTTATATATATGCATGATTTTATTATTTATTGATTCCCTTTATAATTGATAGGTTGACTTTTTCTTTGGTCAGCTGATTTACTACTCTCTTTTTCTTTTTCCTGTTATTCTGCAGGAACATCTGTTAATAGTGTGTGAACCAAGGTTTTAAAAACCAAACCGGACCGAACCGGATGGTCGGACCGGTCTAACCGCCACCCGTTTAACATTATGGCTGGGTTTATAGATTTAGACCGTCTGAATGGTTTGCCCGGATTGAACCGTCCAAAACCGGACGTTGGGCCGGAAACCGGCATTGAGCCGGAACCCGGAACGGTTTTACAAAAACCGGGCGGGTGAAAGTCTCTTCTTTTGTTTAGAATCAGAACAAGAAGGAGGAGGAGGAAGGATGCAAACAAGAAGAAAAAAAGAAGGGAGTATGAGAGAATGACAACAGCCAACCAGGAAAAAACAATAAATCAAGTTGAAAACTAACAAATCTGAAAAAATAGTCGATTTACCTTTTCTTCTCCAATAACCACAACAAAAGAGCACAAATGTAAAAGAGGTAGAAGAGGATGAAGAGAGTGAGATGAATTGAAGATGATGATAGAGAGATGGCTGTGTAAATCGAGTGATGTGGCCAATTGAAGATCATGGAGCAATTTGAATCTGGAACAGCAATGGAGGACGTTTCTGGAATGTGTTTGAAAATGACGATAGAGAGAGATAAAAGAAGCATCTGGAGACTGGAGAGCATCGAAAATATACAAAGAAAAAGCAAACGTTTTGCTCTGAATACGGTACAGATTAACAAAGAATGTTTTATTTTTCATTTTTAGTTTTTAAGAATATCCATAAGTATTTTCTACTTTGACCCTAAAAGAATTTTTAGCCAAAAAAAATCTATAAGAATTATTTCCTATTATAATTATTTATTTATTTATATTTATATTATTTTACATGTATATAATATTATTTTTATTTAATTATTATATTACCGGTCCGACCATCGGTTTAACCGATCCGACCGTTTGAACCATAACCCGTTGTTCTTTCCGGTTCAACATCCGGTCCGATTTTTAAAACATTGGTGTGAACTACTTAAAGCCAACTTATATGAGTTTCATAAATATAATAGAGAATCAGGGGGCGAAGTATACTTCACAATGCCAAGATTGCAGGTTTGTGGTGTTCCATCTTCTTCATGAATCATGATGTCTTATTTTCATCTTATCTGCCATCACTGAAACTCTTCTAAATTTATTTGTGTAGTCAATTACAATTCAGTGTTTGGAAGCGCTTCAGTTTTTGCACAGCCTTGGACTAATACATTGTGACCTGAAGCCAGAAAATATTTTGGTGAAAAGCTATAGTAGATGTGAGGTTAAGGTCATTGATCTTGGGAGTAGTTGTTATGAGACTGATCACCTTTGCTCATACGTCCAGTCCAGGTCCTATCGTGCTCCTGAGGTTATATTGGGACTTCCATATGACAAGAAGATTGATATATGGTCACTTGGCTGCATTTTGGCAGAACTTTGCACTGGCAATGTAAGTATAATATATGGCCAAATAGCCAATGCACTTCAACATGGCAGGGTTTAACCTACTGTTTGAAATTTTTAATACCAACGATTTATCTGAAGCCGTCAAAATTTTCAACCAAGGGAAGCACCTGAGTCCTCAATTAAGGTCTAAAATGCCATCCACTCCCTCAGTTCCCAAGTCAGTTTTCCTGAGGTTAAGGTCACTGGTTAAGCCTTTCTAAGCAAGATTATTATTTTTACTTTATAATCATTCCTTGTAGAAACTTAAGTCTCTGTTAGTTAAACTTAGGTTAGCTAGCTCTGCACATTGCAGTGACCTAACACCATAGTCTTTGACTATGAATAGTGTTTTTAGCCTTGGGCTTTGTTAGTTTTCTTTGGTTAGTGATCTTCACGGTTGCGGAAAATGAACGTTGGTCCTTGAAAGATGTGATTGTGTTTAACAAGAATGATAGTAATGAAAGTTGGTGAGACTGCAGTTAAAGTTCTTTTTTAGAATGTGGGACATCCATGGGTCAAATCATCATCGTCATCTTTTACAGGGGCTAGGGTTCCTATTAAGGTCGTCTTCTCTTTTGTGTGACGATAAAATCAGGATAGTCTTCCTATGTTCTTGCAGTGGCTTGATGCTGACATTTGTTTGTTCAGGTCCTCTTTCAAAACGATTCACCTGCAACATTACTTGCTCGGGTGATTGGCATCATTGGTCTAATTGATCAAAGTATGCTCACCAAAGGAAGGGATACATATAAGTACTTCACCAAAAATCATATGCTTTATGAAGGAATCAGGTTAGAATTGCATTTTCAGTTTACATTGTAAACAAAATGGACCGCCAGCAGTCTGTAAGCTTATCTTATTTTTTTTTTTCCTTTTCTTTTCTTTGTGTGTGTGTGTTTTTATTTTTTGTTGATCCAAATGAATGCATCATGCATCATATACTAGACGTTTGGCATCTGACCTGGACCAAGGGTCTTATTTCAATTACTAAAATCTTTTTAGTAATACCTAGTATCTGCCATCCACCATATTAAGGTATTTTTTTAATAACATCCAATATCATAAATTAATTTTTAGTATATCTAACGCCCTAAAATATTCTTTAATAGTATTTAGTATCTTGAAGTAATTTTTCATATAATATTTTATGGTCACTAAAATTTAGTTCAAGATACTTGATACTACTAAAAAAACACCACAGCATGTTGGATGTTGTATATTACTTGAAAAAATATTTTAGTCTGTTAAGTGGATCAAAAATTATTTTACAATACTAAGTGCTATTAAGAAATATTTTAAAATGCTGGGTGTTAAACATTGGTTGCTATTAAAAAAATATTTTACCTTACTAAGTGCATTAACAATTAATTTAGGATAGAAAATGACACTGAAAAAATATTTTAAAGTATTAGATATTTTTTTTAAATTAAAAAAAGCCCTCTCCTTCCCTTGCTCTCACTCAAAACGCTGCAGCTTTGAGGGTAGACGAGGGTAGCGGATGGTAAGGGAAAAGGAGAGAAGCCGCGTCCATAAAATAATGGATAAAATTTATGGGCGGTGTTTTCGTTTTGGGGAGAGCGCAGGCTCCTCCGATTTCAGCAGGAAGCGTCAGAAACATAAAGCAGAGAAGCGAAATCCTCATATAGACGCGAACGATCTCGAGAGATTAACGCAGTACAGTATGTCGGATCCATACGAAAGAGTGAAAGGGGGGAGATTGAGCTTCAAAGGCGGAACCCTCGCCGCGCGTAGCAAAATCATTGAGAAGAAGAAAAAGAAGAAGAAGAACAAGCACAACGACGCTCCTGCCGACGGTGAAATCGACTCTTCGAAACTCGAGAACCAGGAGGAGGCCTCCGCCGCCGACGGAGGAGGAGGATCGGGAGAAACCTACACGATCGACGCCGCGAAGAAAATGAAGTACGACGAGCTGTTCCCGGTTGAGGCTAAGAAGTTTGGCTACCAACCCAAGACCAACTTCAAGTCTATCGAGGAAGCCCTTGATGATCGCGTCAAGAAGAAAGCTGATCGTTATTGTAAATAATTGTTGTCCCTTCAGTGTTCTGCCCATCTCCAAAGTCTTGGTCCCCTTTTGTTCGGGTTCGTTTCGTCATATTCATTTCTGTTGAGTTGAGATTATAGTAATTGATACGACGGTTTTCTTAGGTTTATATTAAGCTAAATTTGTTCTTCCACTATATTAATTATGCTTTGTTTTATTATCGTTAGGGTTGTGGAATGTTTCGATACGAATACTTCTCTGCAGAAATGAAAGGTATACTAGAAATGCCTTCTAAGCAGATTAAGGGTATATCTCGGAGGAATAAGGCTGTTATCACGTAGTTTCGAATTATAATTTACTGCACAATACGACTGCCTTTAGATGACAGTGATTTCATGCTAGAGATATTTTTCTTAGGGATTAGGACGGTTGAATTCGTCAATAAAGAAATTTTGTTAACTTGGGCAATGGCTGGCCGTGCAATCCCTTCTTAAGACAAGTTATGGCAAAAATATGAGTGTAGGTTAGGTGCCATTTTTATGCTGGATTGCTGGTCTGTGAAAAGGAGATGCTTACTTCAATATTAATTCATGCATATCTGGGGCATGATTGCGCTTAGTCTTCTGAGGTTAATTCGCTTGAATAGTGTAGGCATATGGGTTTCGTTTTTCCCCCCAAATAACTTGCAACTTTGCTCGGGAACCTTATGTATAAAACATCTCAAGATTCTGAGGCTTCTGAAGCTTTCAGGAGTTGGGAGTCATTTATTGGTGGTGAATCTGGGAAATTTAACTTATGGATGATTATTTCCTCCTTCCTTTGTTACTAATAAATCGTTTAGCAATAACAACAGGCCTTATGAGTTTTGATGCTCTGTTGGCTTAATTATCCTGTTAGCTAAGGAAAGAATTACGATCTGCTAGCTAAATAGGCGTTATGCTGAGCATTGGGAATCTTCATACCTTTCTCACCTACCAATCAATAACTGATGAAAATAAAGAGCGGGGTGGTTTGGGGGCATTATGAGTTTAGCATGTCGATATTTATTGAACATCATCAATGTTTGTTGGATTTTTGAATGATTGACATAAGGATTTGTGCGCAAGTTCCAGATATTCTCACTTTTCTGTTCACGAGCTACTCACTGAGGAAAAGTATAGGGCAAGAGCAAGATCCCCCCCCCCCCCGGGGGGTCCTTTTTTTTTCTTTTTTCTTTTTTCTTTTAGAGGCCAAAACTTGTGCTCTTTTCCTGGAAGCTTATGCTATTCACTTGTGCATACATCTTTAATGTTATGTAACTACAAAAATACGAGATAATATCACTAGCAATAATGACATTCACTGTTTTTCCATCTCGAATTACAGACTAGGTTGATGGTTCACGGTCTAGGCTCTTTCATTTGACATGTGTGGGTGAGCTTTGAGCTTTGCGGAAAATTACTGTGATAGCATTTGCATTTTGCAAAACTACCTTTTGGTTTATACCATGTGTGCTTGTTCATCTTCTTGAAATGTTAACTGTGGTAGTACATATCAACTTTTGGTGATCTGGTTAACGTGCGAGTATCTGTTTGTTTGCAGGCATTGGTGCGTTGTTGGAGCAGTTGAGCATGCAACTAAGTGCTGGCCCTTCTGAAGTTGTCCCTGAAGCGGTTGATTGATATTCTGCATTAGAATTGAGATTAAACTGTTGCGCTGTAATACTTATCTTAGTCTTAGACACTTAAATATATTGTATCAAGCAGTAATTAGGCTGCTGTAACCAGATGACAGACTAGATTTCGTAGGCGTTAAGGGCTCTTGAACAATCTGACTTGTGGACCTTTCTGAATTTGCTTGATATTTACACTTCAGCACTTCCTTAACAGGCTTATTTAATTCTTGAATTAGCCAAATTGTGGGATCTAAATTAATCCTCCGCCTCTACCTTCCACATTCTGATTTTCTAATACACCATCGAGGATCCGTTTCCAACTAGCATACTAAAATGTCAACGGGAAGTTTTGAATATAATGCGGTGTCAGTAAATGTTTCGCGTAGGATTAGATGTTGCTATATTTGTTGGTTTGTAAAAATAAAAAGGTGTGTTTACTTCACTTTCATCTCCTTCTCACATTCCTCCTCTGCCTTCCATTCATAATGGGTGATTATTATTTTTATGCTCAATTAGAGCTTTGGATATGAAGTTTAGCTGGAACTTTCTGACCCTAATTTTGCAACCTGACACTTAGTTGTAATTTACAAGATTGCCAATCACCTGCTTCAATTTTGGCAAACGACTCCTTGTGGTTTTTGTTTATGAGAAGCTGCTTTCATCCAGACTTCACAAGTTACAAGACTGCTAACATGCGGTTGTTTGGGGCGGGGTTATATGCCAAAATTGAAAAGAATTATTGGTGGAACTAATGAATGCATTGGCACGCTGTTAATTTATAACATTTTTAAACGTATATGTTTGATCAGGTACTTATTTCTCTTCTTCCATTGATCTTGGTTGAAGTAGCTTTTTAAAGTATTATTAAACACTCAAAACATAAAACCTAATAGCTTTGGAAAATACCATGAAAGATCTGGAAGGAATGCGTAATTATATTTTATATTGAACATATTTGAATATCATTTATATATGTAATGACATAAACGTATGAATCATCGTCTTCCTCCATACTTAATTTTAGTGTTCCATTCTCATCCTTTCTCACTCAAAAAAAGGGTTAGTTCACCGAAAAAAAGGGTTTATACAATTTATCATCATTATTATTTAAGTTTGCCCTCGTTTTAATCGTAACTCCTTAAGTTTCAAATCATAGCTTTTGATTCTTTAAATTTTTGTTCATTTAAAAATATTATTCTCTATAGTTTAATAAAAACTTAGACCATTTTACCCTTGAGTGATCAAAACTTATAGTTTTAAATTTAGGGGACTAAAACCAAAATGAAAGTAAACTTGAAAAACTAAATATTATATTAGCACGAAAAATACAGGAATTTTGTGACAAAAATCTATCAAAAAACTGTAAAAAAATTATTTTTAAATATTTATTTTTAAAATAAAAATATAACATATGATAATTTTTTAATAATATATTATATATAAATAAAAATAAAAATAAAAAATAAAATATATAATATACTTATTATTTCATTAATATTTTGAATAAAAATAATTATTAATAAATTAATAATTTTTTAAAATACGAAAATTAACTTGAAATATATAATAATATATTAAATTATATATAAATACATATATATATATATGTGTGTGTGTGCATATATTTGTGTTTGTCATTCCAAATACTATTAATCCATTTCTAATTAGAGATGTGAAATTTTGTGGCTAATTTGCTTTTTTTTTTCCAGTAAATTTTTCTTTTGATCTTGGATTTAAGACTCAGTCGGGTTCTCCCAACAAGTGCGTTTCATGGGATTCGAATCTCCTCCTTGTGAGAGTGAAATTATTTATCATCTCAACTAATATCTTATTGATTATAATTTTTGTTTTTGCTATGACATATTATTGAGTTTTAATCTTGTTGCAGCTTTTGTTATCATCAATATTAGGTGGTATATAATGCCCATCTTTATTGGAAAATAGACAAGCCCCCATCCCATCTATATATATCTAATAAATATATAACACTAGTGTGCCAAAAAAATATATATAACACTATTTTCTACTATTATTTATATATAATTTTTATTTAAAACAAAATAATGTTGCTTGGGTTACATTTTCTTTTGAAATTTTATGTGACTAGCACGTATAATTAATTATAATGCATGCAATATTTATGGGTTGTCACATAGAATTTTTTTTTGTTAATTTATTATTTGGGAAGTACAATTGGGTTGGGACGTACATTTTTTGTGAAATCAGCAAAATGACCACAAATGTACGCCCAAATTTATAAATTAACAAGAAACTATAAATTAAATTATAATTATGTACAATATATTTACAAGAATCACAGAAACTTATTCAAATGACTTTTTTTTCTTTCGGTATAATTGAAAGTATCCTTGAGTCATTTTAAATTTAAAACTAATTTCTATTAGGCTGGTTGCATAAAGATTAAAAAGCTTCCAAATAAATACACTTTTTAAATTTCGATTTATATTTTCCTGACAAAGTGAGACCATTTAACTACACAAGTGATCCCCGCTACCAATTCATTGGCGCCCGCTTCTGAGAAACTATTGCTCACAGTCTTCTTGATCGCAAAATGGACGCAATTCGAAAGCTTAGATGAAATTATCATGAAATAATCACTTTAATTTGTTTCCAAAATTTATAATTAGTTAATGTATATTTTTAGTCTTTTAATTTTAAATAAGATTTTAATTTAGTCCATTGATTTTAAAAATTATATTTTTAGTTCTTTAACCTTAAAATTGTTAACAAAAATTATGATATTGACATTTTAAATGTTAATTAAACGTTCTCAAATACTAATATATTAAATTTAATATTAATTATTTTAGAATTAAAAGACTAAAAATATACTTTTTAAAGTTAAAGATCAAACTTTAAAGGATTAAATGTATATTTTAACTTTCATAATTTTTTTCACTCAAAGAAAGAGTTTTTAGAGGACGGTTACAATATAATATATATGATTAAAAAAGATATTCTAAGAAAAAATACATGCAATTTTTCTTGAGAGGCCGGCATAATTTGACACGGATTTATAGCATGTTTGATTTTTTTTAAAAAATTTAAAATTAAGTATCTATATTTTAACTTTCATAATTTCTTTCGCTCAAAGAAAGAGTTTTTTAGAGGACGGTTACAATATAATATATATGATTAAAAAAGATATTCTAAGAAAAAATACATGCAATTTTTCTTGAGAGGCCGGCATAATTTGACACGGATTTATAGCCTGTTTGATTTTTTTTAAAAAATTTAAAATTAAGTATCTAAATCTTCCTCGATAAATATTTGATTTTTGGATCTCTCTGCACTTATCTTGTTATCACATCATCATTATTCTGGTATGGATTCGCTAAAAATATTTATAAGTGTTATGAAAATGAGAAATATGAGTGAAATTTAGAATGAAAGAGATGAGTAAGATAAGAGAGAAATTGAGAGAAAGAAAAGTGTATTCTTATTTATTTGGATGATCAAAATAGGCATTACATAGTCTTCTATTTATAGGCTCTCAAACTCAACCAAAGGTTACATAAAATAAATAACAATATTAATTCACATCAGTGTGGTACATGTAACCTTTGAGTTATGGAATAAAAATTCCTAAAAACTATTCAATGGAGAGGTTATAGAGTGTAGAATATGAGAGGTTAAGAGTTGAGAGAGTTTATGGATATCCATATTTTCTAATTTTTATAACAATTTGAGGTTATTTAGTTCAATTAAATAAATACTCCTCCGGTCCTTATTATAAGACCCAATTTGACTTTTTATTTGGTCCTAATTATAAGACCCAATCCATTTTCTCTCTTATATTTATGTATTTTTTTTCAAGATAATCCTTCTAATAATGATAGTTTAGCCAATATACTTAATTAGCAAGGATATTTTAGGAATAACAACACTTATTTATTATAAATAACCAACTTAACTTACTTCCTTAATCTCCTCAAATAAGTCAATTGGGTCTTATAATTAGGACCGGAGGAGTATCTATTAAACTCGATTAAAAAATAAATAATCAAATTTGAATTGATCACGCTCAAATTTAATACTCCTCCGGTCCTAATTATAAGACCCAATTGACTTATTTGAGGAGATTAAGGAAGTAAGTTAAGTTGATTATTTATAATAAATAAGTGTTGTCATTCCTAAAATATCCTTGCTAATTAAGTATATTGGCTAAAACTATCATTATTAGAAGGATTATCTTGGAAAAAAATGCATAAATATAAGAGACAAAATGGATTGGGGTCTTATAATTAGGACCAAATAAAAAGTCAAATGGGGTCTTATAATAAGGACCGGAGGAGTAGTATTTAATTAATTCATTAATTATGATAAATCGGTTATAATCAATATTTGATGGATATGACAATAAATAATTTATATTCCTCCCACGAACTCTGTAAATTAAGGTAGGTGCCTTCATGAATGAAAAGACACAGGAGAGATATTATTGGCTTTTTTTTTACAATTTCTTTCCTCTTTTTTTATGGTGCATTTGCTATTTGATTACTGGTTACAAACCTGAATCCAAGGTTTCCAAATTATCAAGTTAATTATCTTTCTCAAATTCTACATGAAATCAATGTATTTTCTAGCCTTTAAATTAAAACTTGCCCTAAAAGTTTGTCAAAATTGGGGTGGTCGCAAGAGGAGGAAAAAATTTTAAGAGTTGAAAAAGGTTTATGAGCGGTTTAAGTTTGGTGGTTTTGAAAGTATGCCGTTACAATAGAAGTTTTTTTAAAGAAAAGTTTTTACCACAATCGTATTTTGTTCTAAAGACATAATATTTTCTGTTGCAATAATATTTTAATTTCATAAAAAATTATATTTTTTTTTTTTGGGAAAAATCAACGATATTGTTGCAATGTAGCGTGGCAAGTGTCAATTTCATGTTATTTACCAAAAGAGAGGTGTTAAAAGTCATGTTAATACGGCCCTTAACCCCTTATATGAGCACTCAGCCAACATGCACATGCTCTCAGAAACACAGATCTGAAATTAAAGGATTCATGGAGCGTGAACTGTGAAATATAAATTTTCTTTTTTCAAAAACTAAACCTTGCATCTATTCGCACTACAGTAAAATTCCATTCCATTTTCTTCCAAAGCACTCTTGCAATATCCACATAATGAAAATAAATCGAAGTTTAATGACAGTGCTAACATAAGATACTGATGTATGGAAGGTCCATATATTCATGCTCAAGTTGTTACGGTGGTCTG